CAGGAGATCCAAATCCTCTTCTGGCCTCCACAGACACTTGGACACAAAAGATGCACATACAGACAAGCATATACTTACATATACACATACACATGAATGATTTTTTTTAAGCTGGTAAGTAACAGAAGGAGTGTTGAGATGGTCAGAGTTGGATGGAAATGGTAATCACACATTGGGAGTATCTGCTGCTTCAAAGTTCACTCTATAATAGTGAATTCTGCTTTGCAATTTACTTCAAATAACAGATAAGAGAAGGTAATTAAATGCTTTAGGGTCTCCGAATATGAGAAATCAAGGCAGGGTAAGCCAAAGCAAGACCACTGCTCTTTTGGTGGCTATCCCTTTCCCAGTTACTCCTGGTTTTTGTAATTTGTATAACCTTCTCTTCTTTAAGTATTCTGATAACCAACTCTGATGATGTAAACTAAACTGGGGAAATCTCTTCCTTTAGCATAATTATCATGTTATTGAAACAAAACGAAAATAAAAAGATAGACGAGTTCCACGTACAAATATGATGTCATTTGGACGTGCATTTGTGATTAATAATGAAGCTTTGTTTCCCCCAAAAGGAAAATATAGCAAGCATGCAATAGATGCCCTGCTGCCTTTTACAGGAGTTTATGATTTTAATCCTAAACGAGGAACTATTGAGACTAAAGTTTGTTATAAGAAAAAACTATTTGGCTTAGGGAAACTCCTTGGATAGAAAGATTAGCTAGGTCAGTAAAAAGCTGGTGGTGCCTGACCTCTGAAGAAAAATTGCCTATTCTTTTACAAACACTAAAAGCGATTCAAAAAGCCCTTAAAGATAAATGGCAACAAAATAATAAAGGATGTTGAAATAGAGAAAATAATCACATGACTCAAAGAGTACAAAACGTTCAGGAAGAAACAGCAAAAGGGAGAGGGAAAAGGTAAATTGGAATATTGGTTAGACAATAAATAAAAAGAGTTGGTTATTCCCATTCCCATGAGAAAAATAATTTTTTCAAATATACACACCAACCTATAAATATTAAATTCAAAGAATTAAAGGGAAAATGGGGACAGGCTGTCTTACACTTCTATGGTAAAATAGAAACCGCAAGGCTATAAAGAAAACAATGAAGACATTGCTTGGCCATGTTAAGAAAATGTTAATCATTGAACTTTGTACTTTCCTTTTATTGTGATTATTGAAAAATATTGTACACTGAGAAACACTATGCAAACTCATGGTTTGATTTATGGTCTGATGCTTTACTGCTATTGTAAGCTTTCTAATTATAAGTAAGAGTTGTAGAAAGCTGCTTTTTCAGAAGTAGAGAGAGAAGTAGAAAAAGAAAGAAGATATTCGGGCTGACCTCTCCCGAGTGGGTCAGTCAACAGCCTCTACTAGAACTGCAATTGTGGTTTCTGGTATAGTCATTTCTACCACCGCAGTTACCGTCACCCCTTCAGGCCCCGGACTCAGCTGAAGCTGGACTCTGGAAAGACATGTATCAAGGCAAGAGCACTGAGATTAAGTCAACTCAGATGCTCTGGCCCCTTCCTGGGAGCAGCCAGTAGACACAGCGCACAGCAGGCAGGGTTGCTAGTAAGGACTATCCAAGGTGCTACATCAGAGCTAAGTGGGGAAGGAGAGCCAATTTCTAGATGTGGGGAAGGATGCTGAGTCATGGAAGGCAAGCAGAGGTCTGAGAGGAAATGCATTGACTCAATGTGCAGGAATGTGAAGGCATTCAGTTATGCACAGGAAATTCCAATATTTAAGTCACTGCCCTCATTATGGTAGGGAACCATCCCCACAAAGAAAATGAAATGCAACTGAGTGCATGCACATGGTTTTGCCTGTCATGACAAGATCGGGCTCAGCTTTGTATTCCCCTATCATTCACTCACTGTATTACACTCTGAAATTAAGAAGCAATAAGTGAATGAATAAAGAAATAAATGGACAAGTAGATACAATAGCAGCAGTTCCAACTCTCAGCTTTAAAAAAATTTTTTTATTATTTTTATGTGTATGAGTATATTGGCTGCATGTATGTGAGTGCACCCATGTTGTGCAATGCCGCGGAGGTCAGAAGAGGGCTTCAGATTTCCCTGGAACTGGAGTTAAGGGTGCTGGGAATTGAACCCCGGTCCTCTGCAAGAGCACTCACTGCTCTTAACTGCTGAGCCAACTCTCCAGCCCCCCACCTTTTTTTATTGGTCTTTTTGAGACAGGGTCTCCCTGTAGTCCCAGCTGGCCTGGAACTCACTATGTAGACCACTCTGGCCTTGAACACAGAGATCCACCTGCCTCTGCCTCCTGAGTGCTGGGATTAAAGGCATGCACTACCACACACCCAGCTCAACTCTTAACTTTTGGCAAAACTGATCAACAAAACAATCAGGAAATTATCTGTTTTCAAAGGCCACCAGATTGGAAAAAGTACTTGGTGGATACACACTGGCTCAAGAAGCCAAATAAAGGGAATAAGGCCCAATGATCATTATCCTGAAAAGAAGCCAAGATATTTTATCTCATTATCCTGTAATTATTGTTTTCAACCTAACAGCTTTAGAATTAGAGATATAATTAGAGACAGGTTACTTATTTTGTCTTAAATTTTTTTTTTTTTGGTCCTTTTGAGACAGGGTCTCCCTGTAGCCCCAGCCTGCCTGGAACTCACTATGTAGACCAGGCTGGCCTTGAACTCACAAAGATCCATCTGCCTCTGCCTCCTGAGTGCTGCACCTTAAAGGTGTGTGCCACCACCCAACCTAGGGGTTTTATCTTAATTTTCTAAGTGGGTTTGTCTTTCTGTAAGCATAAAGACTTTCCTATAAGAGCCCCACAATGTGGGCAATCAAGGACTCCTGACTGTCCATATGAAACCAAGATAAGACACTGCCAACTTCCCGTGCTTCACAGATGGGTGACTGTCTTCTTCCCACACTGCTCTATAAGAAAGACAGGTCAGAAAAGTGTGTTCAGGACGATCAGGAGATCGCCTTGCCCCCCCCAAGTAGTTGAGAAGATTGGCTCTACTGCCCCTGTAGGTAACAAAATCTAAGAGTGCTCAAGTCCTTGATGTAAAATAAACTAATATCTGCTCATAGCCTGCCTGCATCCTCCAGAGAGCTCTGAGTCATCGCTAGATTATTCATAGCTAATACAATGCAAATGTTATTTGTATCATTTAAGGAACAGATGATGAGTTTTAAAAGTCTGTATATTTAATATAGAAAGAATTTTGCATTTTTTTCTAAATATTTACTGAGGGCTACAGAACCCTCGGATAGGGAGAGCTGACTGTATTATATTTCTTGTCCAATTACCCTACACGCTAGAATATACAATGTTTTTGCTATAACAAATTATGAACATTTCTAAAAATTCTCACATCTCACAAAATTTCACACTAAAATAGCAGAGCTTTTAGGGGAAACTGGTTTGGAGTGTTCTCTTCAAAATATAAGGACCTTCAAAGCACAATCAAAAACAGTAACCAGTAACCTTGAATGACCAACTGGCACCAAGACAGGTGGCCGGCTCTGCATAGGTAGCAGCTGGTGAAGCAGTTGTAATACATAAAACAGAAAGAACATAACAAGGCTTTCATTCCCACACGCCTGGCACAGGTGGTACACGGGAAGGCTGTAACTTGCCTTGAGCTAAGAGCCATGTGAGTCCATAACCATGCCAACATGGGAGGGAGGTGACCATTGTGAGACATCTCTTTCTCTGAGTTTCTCTCTCTCTCTCTCTCTCTCTCTCTCTCTCTCTCTCACACACACACACACACACACACACACACACACACACACACACACACACATACACACACACACCCACACTCACAGAAGAGAGCACG